CGCTGTCTTCTGGCTCCGTCCACACTGCACACAACCAGCCACACCCCTAACCATAGCCTAACGTGCTACTTGTAAGCATCCTTTCATTTAACTTCTGGTTGTTCTCTACCTCTAGCTGCATGTTCGCAGCGGGACTTTGCTATCGGAAGTAAGTGATACATCTTGCGGAATGGCGCGAGTGGAGCCTGGAAGCGCTATTCGTTTACCACTACCCTTCAGCCTCGTTTTCGCACAGCTTCAAGTGACGAAAGTGACACACTTGTAGAGCTGCTAACCCATCATTCTCTCGTGCAAGGCAAGAACCGTCCTACGACGTGAGTGTCAGTTTAAGTTTAAGCAAGTTTTCAAATCTTCGTTCTGTATACCTGTATACCGATTTCAGGAAAGACTCCCTTGTCGTAAGCAACATGTCGGGAAAGTGACAATAAAAAACGAGGCGAGATCGCGTTAAACACCGCAGTACTATTAAAGCCGCTGACACCTCAATAGTTAGGAACCACTGCAAAAGAAGGTTATCAATGATTGCATCAATTTTCTAAACAGGAATACCTGATCACATATGATGACATCGCTTTTCGACATACAAAGAACATAGATAGCAGCAAGACACATCCTAACATAGGCGCATAATGCCCACATACAACCAAAAATCATGCGCGGAAACCACTGGATGACCGTTATATCTGAATTTTCACCTTTTTCTCAGGAGATTTCGCCCATTCGTAAGAAGGTTCAAACCTATGAAAGTACCGTCGTCTCCTACGATGATATCACTAATCCCATCACCGTCCGAGACGACTATCTCAAGTAAACCCCGTCCCTTACCAAAAAATCCCTACGTTTCGAGAATCCTCCTCATACGGGTCGAGTGGATCCTCACCAGGTAAGGATTTCCATTCTACCTCACACAACTACAACTGGGTTAATACTTACCATAAACAGTTTATTATCCCTATCGTTCTCTCCTTTTTACTAATAACACCACTGAACCACCCACCACGGAGAAGAATATTATCCTGTCATTAATGCACGAACGTCTGTGCTACCAAGAACTCCATCAATTCTTCCTCCTTTTCATTTTCCAATGTAATTAAAATTAGTTCACTGCCCCTCGGCGAAGATCACCCTATATTTTAGATGGGTGTGCTCTTCACATCTACGACAACAGGGTTAGTACATCTAAAGAGCTATGCTATGAGTTTCCGTGGTGCAGGCTTATTCAACAAGCTAGGGGTTCCCTTCAACCAACAGAATTATTCTCACGGTAATTCGAGTTGCGTCCATACTTCACGATATGGTCGCCCTGATTGTGCGTACCGCTTGGACGCGCGGTCAGTGCGGCTAATTCGCGAATTATGAACACACTTAAAATTTGATCGACTCTCCATTGATATCGGCATGACCACAGTGATAATTACAGGTGTTTCTCGAGCGATCCGAGACTGTTACAATTGTTTACCTAGCCAGATTTTCGGCAGTATTGCCTTCTTCAGAGCCTCTAGATCGAAGCCAATTTTCAGTCTCTAAAGAAAGCAATATTGCCGAAACGTTGGACCAGATAAACAATCGTAACAATCTCGGATCGCTCATGAAACTTCCCTCGTTATGAACACACTCTTACGTGGTATGTTACACCCACATGTATGACAACAAACGATTTAGACTCAAATTTTTCGAGGAAATAATTCCAATAAAAAACCCCACACTACCTAGCTCCTTTGTTTCCTTGAATGCATGATTGGGATCGAATTGGCTTGTCACTATCTTCACTTGATGACCTTTATTTTGTAGTGCCACAGCTGCATCCACAACGAGTCGTTCAGCACCACCAATACCCAAGTCAGGGTGAAGAAATGTCACGCGCATAGCAGGATCTAATCAAGTCTAGTTAGATGCAAGGTTTCTGAAGACAAAACAAGAAAGGTACCAGTAAAGAATAGCCGAAGTTAGTTGTAATGGTATGCGGGAGAGGAATCAATACCTTCGTGAATTATTTACGGTTTCCATTTGAATAAACAGATCGCCAGAAGTGCTTTATTAACCCCGAACGATAATCACAGAAAATCTGTCAAACACAACCGGTTTTTCAAAATAGGAATGCTAAAATCTCATAAACTCGTAACAGTACGTCAACAATTCATAGCCATTTGAGCGGAATAGCCATGGCGGCACTGTCACATACCCAAAAAATCACAGAAATGGTTCCTAGGATAGACTGAAGCTCTTAGTAATAACCAACTGGAACTAGCAATATAATTTCTATCTAGAGAGAAAACGAACGATTGCATTACACTATACGTTCACAACGAAAGTCGCCTGGGCAGGCTACACAATTCAGGCTATGCCGTCACTAACGAGAAATCAGAGAGCCTTCAAACAATTATCGAGAAGACTGCTCGCACCAATTCGGAATAGGTTCGGAGTGAGCCACTCGTCCCCGAGAATCTGCAATTCGTCGCATTAACTGAATTAAATCAAATCCATATCTCACACTTATAGTAGGACGTGAGAGACAAGAGAAGAGCAGAGCAAACGAGTAGTGCTGGTATGGCATAAAAAGGATACGATGAGCGTTTCAAGCGAGGGTCCTTAAGAAACACTTTCGTCTTCAGAGAAATCAACTAAGGCGAAACCTAGCGCGCCCTAAAGACGTAAGATAACTATCCTTACTGATTCTTACTTTAGTTTCTCCCGTTCCCTTTCATCAATGAAAAGAAAACTAGCACTTCCTGGAGGCGGAGGTGTAATGTGGCAGACTTACTACGAGCGCGGCCGCAGATCACATCCAAGATCGCCTCTCTCTCAAACCAACAAAGCCTTTTGCCCTCCGGAGACGGTAAATTGGTACTAGTTCCGTTCGGGAGGGTAAGAATACAGACTGCGACTGACCCCGCAGTTATTGTAATTACGTTTTCTCTGAATTACATTTTCACATCAGTGGAGCCAATTGAGAAATAATGTTCAGGAAAGTGTATTTCCCCCTATGGCAACAACACCCTTTGAATGAGAAGATTGTTTCTTTCGGGAAGCGGGCGAAGCCAGACATCATGGATATACCTTCCCAAAGTTGATTAAAACAAAATAATCAGGAAAAAGTGGTCGATTTTCCTTAACATAGGAAATCACAGAACTCGTGCAGATAGTTAACACCAAGTTGCACCTTTTTCCTACTAACATTAAATGCTCGTAAGTTGAGAGTATCACAAAAGGAAACGCGATGACGTACATCTTTGATAAGAGCAACATAAGCAAGAGCCTTCCAGTGGTGTCTTGATCCCTCCAGCTGGTTTGAAGCCCACCTGTAAGTTGGACTTGTAGAACAAACAGCTAAAATAAATTATCGGGCAAAAAGGACTAGAACACACCTTCTTGCCGGTAAGTTCATGCCACCTCTTGATTGCTGAACACATCACAAACGCTACTTCCAAAGTAGCGTTTGTGGTTTCCTTTCCCGTTGAGGTTTTGATAAAGTCGGAGCCTGGAAAAGATGCAAACTTTCAGAACGCAGAAGATTAAAGCAGTGCAAACGTTCTTACCTGCCAAGATGCTAGCCCAACTCGCTTTGTAAACATTTGCCAAAGTTTTCAGCTCTCCAGTTGCAAGAATCGTCTTGAGATGAGCGCTACCGCACGCTGATTTAAGTGCCAAAACCTCATCGTAGACAGCTAAAAGATGAAAT